TACCGCCAATGCCCTACGCGAATTGGGTCAAGTGGCATGAGGCTCGACAGCTTGACGTCCTCGCCGGCCATGAAATGGAAAATCGGGTTGAAGGTATCGGCGGGATTGATTATGATGTAGAAGGACGGGAGTTGCATACGACACCCTGCGTGCTGGTTCGGTGCGATACGTACGAGTATTGCTCAATGGGCATATTACGATACATGCCTAACGGCTGCTCCTGATTTCCCGCTGTCCCCGGGCAAGGTTGCAAGCATCATTCACAATCGAAACGCGCACAACCACTAGTTAGTCATGGGACCGCGTGCGGTGCGTCGCTCGCAACCGGACTTGCCTGCCGTAGCGGGTCTTGCCGCTCGCGGCCCTATAGCAGTTATTCCTCGGTAAAGTGGCTCACAATCGGTGGGCGTTACTCTGTCTCGTCAGCCGCTGTACACACGCTGGTGGTGCTGATTACAGCAGCCAGCAAGCAGTCAGACCCAGTTTGGTCCGTTGCACGTGAAACCACGCGTTTGGATTTGAGACTACAACCAGTCCGGTTTCGCGTCTTGACTCCTACCATCATCGCTACACCTCAGAAGAACATCACCATCCTCATCGCCATACGAACCCCAGTATCCATAGGTCAGATAGACTCACTTCCATGTATACAGAGCTTAGATAACCGACATCACTTCGAGATTGTAGATCTGGAAATGGCTCAAATCCAGGATCTACCCGTCGAGCTGCTCACAGCCATATTTCTCTATCTAAGATGTCTCCCTTCGACGTACGAAAGGGAGCCTACATGCAAGGGCATATCACAAGTGTGTGAACACTGGCGCGAGGTTGCGCTGAACACGCCGGAGCTCTGGACGCTCATCCCGCTCGTGAGCGCGCGCTGGACCAAGCTTTGCATCGCACGCTCTAGTCCGGCCCCTATCGTCGTACACGCCGAATGGCTTCGGGACTACGAGCACGAAGCGAGGCGCAAGACCTTGCAACTTGTGTACCCTGAAGTCCACCGAATATCGTCTCTTCGCATATCCTCCATGGCTTACCTCATCAATCACCGTGTCACGGCCGATGGAATCCAAGGCGAACTTCACACAACCCAGATACTCGCTGATCTATTCACTGACTCCAACGCGGGGGCTGCTGTCACATTATCTGACCTCTTCATCTCCTTCGACGACGGAGCGGGCCAAATCAGTGAAGACCCTCACCGCCACACATTCGGGGCTGGGACAAGCTCCGTCGAGACTCTCAAACATCCCGCCGATCTGCCCCTTGCGATGTTTGGAGCCTCTCGCCTAGATGCGCTCAAGGCAGCCTCCTTCAAAGCCTGCAGGCTACCCCTATCCTGGTCTGGAACTTTCCTCCCGACAACCCTTCGTTCGTTAACTCTGGTGGATGCTTCCGCATGGAGAAATGTGGATACATTGGTTGCGTTCTTTCGACTGGTACCGAACTTGGAATCCCTGGACGTACAGCGCCCAGGAAAATGGCGTACCTGCCCCTTCTCCGCAATCCCGTCACTCGCCCATCCCCCTCGTTGTGCTCAACTGGCTCGGCTACACACACTACGGGTGTACGCGAGTTTCGGGCACATCCTGGCTCTGTTGACATACCTCTCGCTCCCTGTGATCACCTGCATCGACATCAGTGTGCGCGGCAAAGCGCGATTGATTCCCGATGCTGAGCCCTTACTCCAATTGGGGACAACCGCCATACGCGATCACTTCGCTCCGGCAGCGGCCGACGGACTTGCTCATGGGCACGTCGGTGTGGAGAACGGGCGCATCACAGCCCCTTGCTCTCGAACTCTCACCAGAACTCTCCAAGTTTCTCACGTCGACGTCGGTACATCTCGTTCTTCTGTCAACATTCACTTGGGCAACTTCGAAAAGCGCGATAACACGCCGTACCACCGCGATGCCTACGCGCTATTCCTTCTGCAGCCGATGTTCTCCGGTGCCGAAAGTATGACGTGTCTGGACTTCCTTCCTCCGGGCGTATGGCCTCTCTTCCATCACTTCACCACGCGCAGCCTCTGCCTTGGCCCAGCGTCTTATGACTGCTTTATGGAAGCTATTGCCGACGCCCCTTCTGAGGCTCCTCTATTCCCTTCTCTTCGACGTCTCATTATTGCGAATGGCTCCCTCGACCGCTACGACGTAACGAGACGGACGAGAATGAGAACTCACGAGATCATGTACATCCAACGTCTGCGGGACATTGGGCAGCGAATAATTCAGATGGCCCAGAGACTAGCTCAGTATGACGAGTTTGAGTCGCTCGTGTTAGCGGGATCTGCTGTGCAAAGCGTGGCAGAGGAAACGCTCAGCGCGATCACCAATATACTAGGCGAAGAGCGCGTCGAGTTACAAGCAGAGTCGCCGTCTGCGTCATAGTGCTAGTCGCACTGAGATATAGTGTATCCAGACACATGTTGTACCTCCATGTATATCATCAGATTCTATTCACACCAGAATGCGACAAGCTAGATTCGGCCACTGCCTCACAATCATCCGAGGTCGAACCGACGAGATCCTCCCCATTCACCTATACGTTGGAAGCAGCACGTACATAGCCTAGTCGACGTTCTCTAGGACTTATATCTGCTCTAATATTGCTTGTGAAGCATGCATGATATGGTATAATACAACAGCAATAGAGGGTACAAGATCCAGTGTCCGGAGTGCACAGTGTCCGAGTCCGTGATAGAGTACCAAGAATGAGAACAGAGAACGGCGAAAGAGCGACGAGACAAGCTACTACAAATTCTCGCTAAGCGTCTGCACGACGGTTTGCTGCACACGTGTGAGATATGTAATGAGCTCCTGTGGCGGGAGAGCTGAATGGTCGTGTACTTGATTGAGCTGGTCGCGCAGCTGATATCGGATAAGAATCTGCGGCACACGAGCTTGGGGTAGCGCATACCTTCAGCAACGCCCGTCGCCGAATGGCGACCTTGCTAGCTTCGCTATCTTGGTTCTGCATCTCGTCTAGTTCGGTCAAGCGGTAAGAGACGCGCCTCCCTTCCGCAAGTACATCGCGTGGTAGGTCGGCTAAGCGCGCGAGCTCCAGTCCTGCAGTCACTTCAGAAACCGAACCATGTGGCGAGGAGAAGAGCCGTACCATAATGACCAAAGTCATCCGGAACTCCGTCGACGATTCTGCGACAAACGTGAGCTGCATTGCCGAGAAGAAAGCGTGAGACAAACTTGTATCGGAACGTGATGCCGATGTTTGAGGCGGTAGGCCGAGTTGACTGGACGGAGAATGTGAGTAGGGATTGTCAATCGATCCACGGAAGAGACTACTTGGACAGAGAGATGCAAGCTGGGCAGAATTAGCAAAGAATAGGTCAACTTTAGCAAGCACGTACTTGACGACAGTCGGCTGTCGTGAGAGCGTAGTCGATAGCTCGTGGAAATGGCTATTACACATCAGCTCGTCGCCAGCGGCGTAGATAGGACCACTCACGTAGCGAAGAACACAAAGCACTGCAAAGGAGTGAGCAACCTTAAACATGTTGAGAGCGCCGGCACTCACGCCAGTCTGGATCATCTCCTCGGCAATCGCATGGGATATCCCGACGCCTTCGGTCGGTGAAGTCCCGCGCCCCAGCTCATCCACAAGTACCAAAGAACGCGGCGTCGCAAGCCCAAGAATCATGGCCGATGAAGCCATCTCGTTCGCAAACGTGCTAAGACTCTTCTCAATGTCATCGTCATTGGAGAGCCGTGTCAGAAGAGCGTCGTGTATCCTGCGCGGAAGTGTTAGATGACCACAGGTATCGGTAATGAGTACGATGGAGGGTACCTGAAGCTGGCGTACTCTGCCGGTACGAAGCAGCCGCTCATCGCCATAACGGTCAGAAGACCCACCTGGCGGAGGTACGTGCTCTTCCCTGCAAGCATCTCAGCGATCGTGATGGGCTCCCAGCACGGCAGGAGACGGCATACCAGACATACTGCGAAGATGAGTCAGTCAGAATGAAGCGACCCTGCAACAACAAACACGTACTTCGGCCCTTGGATGATCTGGAAGGATGAGGAGTCGGAGCAGTAAACGTCGTTAGCGACCAAGTTGCCGCTGTGCTGGACCGATTCAAGTATCGGATGCCTGCCAGACTTGATTGCGAGAGTGCCAGTGAACTCGGGGCGTACTGACAGTAAGTTCAGATGACCACGCCAGCAGCTGCCCGGAGAGGCTGCATACCATAGTTGCGTTCTGTGAAGATGTCAGCAACCAGAGCCGTACGTAGAGTGCAAGTCATATACGTACGAATCGAAACGTGTGCGAATGACCAGAGCATATCAACGAGGGCAACCTACAGCAGAAGTTCAGTCACGAGTGGGCGGCGGCAGAGATCTGATGCGCTCACAGCTTCGGATGCTTTGTATAGCGCGCCAACATCTTCGAGGATCTCGGAGACAAGCCCTTGCACAGTCCTGCGCAGATCAGCGCGTACATCGCCCACGATAAAGAACGTGCGCACGCGTAACTGAGAAGCAGAGCCTCATCGAGAGCGTCCTTCATCCGCGCGTTGCGCTTCTTCTACATCGCATTGTCAGCGCCCAATCGGCAGCGAAAGCGAGGTCAACTCACCAGCTCGATGCTAGTGAAGAGCCACCGCCCCTTCTGCATAGACACGTTAGTGAAGCCCTGAGGAAGCCGACCCTCATGCGCTTCCAGATCGGCCTTTTTGACCGCGAAGACGAAACCGCTCTCTTGGTAGACCAAGAGCATAGGTAGGTCATGTGCCTCGCATAACGCGCGATGCAGAGCCTGAATGTCTCCGACGTTCTCCTTATACGTTTCGCGGGCGACATCGAGGAGAGGATTGCAATTCGCCTGGGTCCTCATTAGATAGAGTCCAACGGGTAACGGTCACGTGCTTGCCTTGACGGCGTATACACGAGCATTGACACCCGCAAGCCCACCCTGCAGATCCATTGAGTATACCGAAACGAGAAGCAGTGCAGAGAATAGGACCTTGGAAGGCATAGCCTCCTCGTTGAGACTTCTGCGCACGAGACCTTCAATGCGAGCGAGCCGCTCGTCGGAGAGCATCTGGTACAATCATCAGCGTCATACGTTATCGTGCGCAACCTTGGAGACCAACCTGGCCTATGATCTGCAGCAACTGACTGCGCGAGCCTTCCAGCGCACTGTGTAATGATGGGAGGCTCTTCACGACATTCCGAAGGTTCAACATGTCGGAGATACGTCGGGCGGCCGTGCGAGCGGTACTCGTCTCGCGCGTCTCACTGGCTGCCAACTGGAAACTCGATGAGCGAGAGCACACTGAGAGCACCAGCATTCACATACAGATGCGATGAGCTTGTCAAAGTCCATCTTATCAAGATGACGGAGAGCGTTCTTCACAGACGCGTATCGGTCTTCGGACTGAACAAGCTCTGCGATGTGGTTCGTCAGCATAGCGGAGGTCATAGCGACCCCCATCGGAGGCTCTTGCCTTCAACGACGTCTAAGCGCGCGTCAAGAGCAGATTGAACTATAGATGACGATGAGCGCCTGTTCGCAAGAGAAGAGTGCGAGCTTACCAGTGATGGGCGCTATGAGAGAAGCGCGAAGCAGCCGTCCGGCCATGGCAGTGTAGGTATGGTTCGTCACCCTACTCGACCGTGTCAGTCTACATTGTCGACCAGAGACGCTATCGCACAAGCGTACCCGAAGAGCGAATGCGTCGACTTCTTGTAGGTCATGTTTCCGACAAGCTCCAGGTTACGAGCCGTATCCGGGTCGATCATCATTGTGCCGTCCACGGCAGCGAACTTGATGCGGAGCGAGTTGTTGGCGAAGGACGTGTTGAGCTTGAGTTCAGCGTACTTGAACAGGGCCGAAGCGGCGCAGAGAGCATAGTATCTGAGGGAGGGTTGAGTACGATACCATCTGGGTGGATCGATGGCGCTCACTTGTTATTGGCTGCGATGATGGTCCCGGCCCACTCCTCATCTTGTACGCAGAGTTGGCTGATGAACTCCATGCCTGTAGCCCGGTCAGAGTTGTGTAGACATGAGACTGGCCCGTACATACCAGCAGCATCATTCCAGAACTTTCGGAGAACGGGATCAAGAGGAACGCCAGGAAACTCGTCCTGGATGCACTCTACCAGCACGGACGTGGCCAAAGGCTTCCTGCCCGAGCTGGTGGTGATCGTATCGGACACGGCAAGAAAGGTATCAGGTACAAGAATGAGAGATGGCGGGTTAATGTGCATCTGGTGCAGCGTCTTGACGTATGTTTGACAATCTCCGAGCTGGGAACATGCGCGTAAATGCATCAATACATGCATCACGGGCATAGAAAGTTGAAATGCTCACCTGTACCAGCGCGACCCTCCCCGTATCTTTCTCCAAGCACGCCATCCCAACCTCGCGCGCCACTCCGCGGCCTTCGAGTACGGCAATGATGTAACTTGCCTCGTGTCGCGTCGAGGTCGCGGTCGTGGGACGCGCCGTCGCGGGTCTTGACCCCGAGGTATACGGGCGCGTTGCGGACGACCGACCAGTCCATGGTCTACTTCCACCAGTATATGGACGCCTACTAGAAGATTGACCCGTAAACGGCCGCGTTGAGAGGTTCGAGTCCGCCATCAGCCAATGGAGGAACGAAGCAAAAGAGTAGGCGCCAGAAGGACGCGTCGCGTCGCGTACGAGACGCGGTCACGTGCGTATTCTCACAACTTCTGGAAGCGGGGCAAAACGAACATTGTTCGCGCCATCACACACGCGCAGACTGTACACAAGAGAGATCAAAAGGCACACGTCTAAGCTCCGGCTACATCCGCCACCTCAGCCGCCCAGTAAGTAGGCGTCGCATTCCAATGATTAGCAGCATTGGCGTTGTCTGTAACAAACACCGCGCCCACTCCTCCCCCAAGAGACCCCAGCTGATCGATGACAGAAGACGGGGAACTTGCGGGCCCGCTGTACATCAGCACAGCCTGCTTCGCCGATGGCATGTCCGAGGTGATCGTGAGGTCCGAAGTACTGAATGAAGAGTATGGCCCCTCGTAGGTGACGATCATGTCCGCGGCGCTCGAACCGAAGTATCCGGCGGTGGTCGACGTTCCGGGATTGAACACAATCTACGACATGAGACGTCAGACTCCAGGCACTCATGTTGCTATTGAAAAAGCGCACGAAGTTAAATCCCAAGCTGCGAGCGTACGTGGCGTACGATTCGTACAGGCTCACATCTCCCACGTCATTGCTCACTTCGTCGAAGAAGATGCCGGTTGGGCGGTATGATGCCGGCCAATCGGCATAGGCAGTCACGTTCTCCTGAACAATATCCGCGGTGATTGGTGGGTTGCCGTAGTTGGTCCGAACGTATCCCAACACGACACTGTCTGGCCCAGCGTTCTTCAGCTGTGGGATACACACCGGGTAGTTCGGGTAGAGGTCGGACGTCGTCATCGGGCCGCTCGCGGGGTTGATGATCATGTAGACGGGAACGCTGGCCTGGGCTTTTATGCTATAATACCCTGAGAGTCATTCCAATTCAATGTACGAAAGAGGACTCACCCTGAGACTATCGAGGTGTAGTCCGGGCAGCTCGTAGTGTCGAAGCAGTTGGCATTGTTCCCGCAGAAGTAGACGGGGAAGAGGATGCCTAGACTCAATACACCTGGAAGAAACGACGCGAGGAGAGTAATGGTGGTCAACATCTCCAAAAGTTTGTATCCCTAGAAACTTGGAGTGGCCCCCTTATACGACTCGAAAGCACTAGCTATCAAGAGCGAGGCACATCGGGGCTCTACCAGGTACATCAGATTATGGGTGTTCATACAGAGCAAACAGTTCGATACTCACAATTTTGCACCCGCTAGGTACATGGAGACATTGCATCTTCTTGGTCGACGATCTTCCCTGCAACTGTATGGCGACCGAAGGTAGGCGCTACGAGGGCACCACAACACAGACGATGGCTTCACACCGACCGCGAGTCAGCTGGCCCACGACCATATGCCACACCCCATTTCCAACTTCGCCGACAGTTTCAGCCTCTCCTTGAGGCGCTTTTCCATAGTCTGGGCCGTAGGCCTTTGCCTTGCGGACCATGCACGTGGGTGCGCACAACGCTTCGCGTCGATGGGCTGCATGATGAACAGAGAGAGAAGGTGTATTGGTTTCATGTGGCCATGAGAGAAGATGAACACAGACAAGAAGTAGGACACATGGAACGAGCCTCTTAGTTCATGGTGTGGATGGCTGGGACGAGGCCATCATTATCGTACAGGGTCAAGTTGCGTACGACAAACGAACCCATGAGCTCAAGTGACCGGCAATCACCGACATTTTCGCACGGCGACAGCAGCCTCCCGATACTTACGCGGCTGCCACATCAGCAGCCTCATTCGCCCATATCGTCGGCACCGTGTCGTACGGGTTAGGCAGTGTATCATCCGTGATGAATACAGCACCGATCCCGAGCGAGCCAAGCTGACTGATGAGCGAGGCTGGCGCGGTCGACGGGCCGTTGTACAGTATCACGGCCTGCTTTGCAGCCGGCGTCGAGGAGGTGATCGATAGGTCCGAGGTGGCGAAGGAGGAGTACAAATCCTCAAATGTGACGACGAGGTCTGCCGGGCTAAAGTATCCCGAGTTCGCGGTCGTTCCGGGGTTGAACACGATCTGCAGGGCAGGGTTTGATCTCGATGAGTGAGGGTGTCTCACGGATAACCGTAGGTAAGGTAACGCACGAAGTTGAAGCCTGCATCGCGTGCATACGTAGCGTACGACGCATACTGGCTGACCTTCTTAGCCCCATCGGGCACTTCATCAAAGAAGATGCCGGTGGGACGATAGGAAGTCGACCAGGAGGCATACGTATCGATGTCCGCTTCTACGTCGCTCACGGCGCGGTTCCCGTTCTTTGTACTAACGTACCCCAGCACGAAGCTGTTGGTCCCAGCGTTCTTCAGCTCTGGGATGCAGGTCGCATAGTTCGGGTAGAGATCGGACGTCGACAGCGGACCATTGTCGGGATTGATGATGGTATAGAAGTCGACGTTCGGGTGCGCTTGGGCCCTGCACAAGCGTTGAACACCACTCTGAAGACACATCGCGTTAATAGCACTCACTGGGAGACTATAGGGTCGTATTGAGCGCAGCTCTGGGTGAAGCAGTCGTTGCCATCGCCGCAGAAGTAGGCAGGGAAGAGGATGTTTAGGCCAAGCGCCGCGGGGAGTAGGCCAACGACAAGTGCAACTTGAGCGAGCATGCTGGAGCGGTTGTTGTGTCCGATTTCACAGAGATCAAGTACGGGCATTATATAGGACCGTTGAAGACTCACTAATCCGAATACAGTGGCTAGAGACACCAGAACTTGATCGGATCGTTTCATGTTAAGCAGGTTTTGCAAGGGAGAGCTGCAGTACACACGGGTCTGCGCTCGCTGTCATGCGTTCTGAGAGCGCAGGGACATTTCTGCCGGAAAATTGTTTCGGATTTGAACATACGGGCCTGCTCAGGCGCCACATGAGTATGTACCTCAGCGTGAACAGGCACTTTGCGTGAAGCGCCATGTGACGAAGTGCTGTATGCTGTATATGCCAGTGGAGTAGGGGTGCCTGGGAGTGCGAGGCAGGAGGCGAGGAGGCAGGAGGAGCACGGCATTCGCCGGCTTAGTCAGCGGTTCGGCTCGGTTAGCACGTCGCATGTAGTAGAGTAGCTCTCATC